GCTATTTCCACCAATAACTCATATTTATAACACATTATCTGAAATACAGCTTAGCTCATTTATTTTATAGTTGCTCCTAGACAATTCCTCCTTTGAAAGGGGTGAGACCAGGGAGAGAAAGGTAAATTCAAATCTTAACTGCAGCAGACAAGTTTCTAGGTATGTGGGATGGTATCTATTTGCTTTCCCAGATCACCCAACCTATTTCCACCAATAACTCATATTTATAACACATTATCTGAAATACAGCTTAGCTCATTTATTTTATAGTTGCTCCTAGACAATTCCTCCTTTGAAAGGGGTGAGACCAGGGAGAGAAAGGTAAATTCAAATCTTAACTGCAGCAGACAAGTTTCTAGGTATGTGGGATGGTATCTATTTGCTTTCCCAGATCACCCAACCAGTACAAAGTCAAGGACCCAAGATAAGAACCAGCCACTATCAGTCTTGGACAGCATTTGTCCCGTTGCTTTTTGCCTTGAGGTCCTTACACTGCGATGGCATGGCGACTGCTCAGTTCGGTGTCATTCACGGTCTGTTGTTTCTGCGGCAGGATCTGGCTTCGAACTCGCGGCAATCCTCCTGCCTCATTCTCCCGCGTGTTCCCTTAGGCCTGTTTATGAACCCCGGGGGTCAGCCTGGACGCCCAGGACCCGGGCGGTCCACTGAGGACCGCGACGGGGAGGGGGAGGGAGGTGACGGCAGGTGAGTAGGGCATGGAGGAGGAAGTGAGCCGTGCACCGTGCGGGAATTACTCATGTCGCTTTCCTGAGCGGAACTTCTCGCCTCCCTGTGGGTCCGGCTCAAGTTCAACCTAACTGAAGTCACTTCCCGTCCGGGCTCACTGGGGAAACCCGCGCATCCGTGCGAGGGGAGGGAGCGAGCGCAGAGCGGGCCAGGTACCCGAGGCGCCCTCCGCGGCGTCGAGGCCCGTCTTGGTCCAGGCGCGCAGGCGCGGGCCGCTGCAAAGACAGCTGAGGCGCGCGGGCTCCACGGAGGGTGCACCCCTCTGCGTGCGGGGCCGACGACGCCAACTCCACCTGGCCTTGCCGGCCCTACCGGCCCGCCTGCCGCCTCGCGACCCGGTCCCCGGCGCCCCAGCGCCCTCCTCTGTTCCCCCGCCACACCTGAGCAAAACTTTTCCCTCGCCTCCCCAATTCAAACTCCGCAGCGTCCGGAGCTGCCGCAAACCGCCCCGTCCCTAGCAACAAGGTTCCGGCCGTAGAGCGAGAGCCGCTAGGTGTAAGGAAGGTGATGTCGTAAAGCCGCGAGTGTCGTAAACCAGGTGCGGTGGGGAGGGGGGAGGGGT